AATGATCTGTGGTGATTCCAGATATACTCATCTAAATAAAAGGAAACTGTCTCCTTGCAAATTGAGTCACAAATAAAAAATATTTGGGGAGTGCCATAGAAACAAGTGTACTGTTTTCCTGAAATATGGAAAATGAATTTTATAGCATCTAGTTGTGTGAAAGGAGACAGTATTCTGCCCAGTGTCCTACCTGAAATATGGAAACAGAAAGCTCTTAAGATAGATAGATAGGGGGAAGGATGGATAGACAGACAGAGAGATGGATAGATGATAGATAGATAAATAAATAGATGGGTGGATGGTTAGATAGATAGAACTAAATATTCTTATAATGGAGGGGTTACATAATCAGGTCCCAGGTAGAACTGAGGATCCAGGCAGCGAAAACTAACAGGGCAGTGTTCAGAATCCTGCTGTAGGAATGATTATCCACGCACCTACCATTATTACCCTTTCTTGGGTTACTCCTCCCAAGATGCAGGTTTCTAGCAGGAGTCCAGTTGACCTACTCCTTGGCCAGGGATGTGGGACCCTTTGATTAATAGTTTCACCAAATCCACAAGGTACTCCAGAAAAACTGTTTCCCAGTGGTGGAGCTGCATGCTCTTCCCCAAAGGAAAGGGGCAGGGATCCTGAGCAGGTGAAACTAGTAATGCCCACCACCTTAGCATCTGTCACCTCACTCACTTCTGGACCACCTATATAATATGTCTTCTGATCCCACTCTGTAACCAGAACTCCAGGGTCATAGGCAAGCTCTGTGTTGTTGAGTCTCCTGTGTAGGGGTGATTAGCTTACTGTGCTGCAAGGCTTTCTTCTGGGTCGGTCTTTCAAATGTGTGGACAGCCCAGTCCTGGCTATTTCTGGTACGATCCAGCTGGCAGAAGCTGTGAGCATCAGGCTGACACAAACGTCGCAGCCCCAGCATACCAGAGATGCTAAGACTTGGATGATTGTCGTTGCGCAAAGAGTGGTAACTTCCCCGCTGAGGCTTTGGATGGGGCAGGATGTTGGGTGGAGTGAAGCACAGCCCTAAGCAAGCCCTACCTTGAGAGTAGATTAGCAGGAATGGATTGCAAACCTTGCGATTGTTCATTTCCTCCCCCCACCTTTTGCTGCTGAGACATTATGAAGCTCTGGGCTGTGATTAGCTATGGCTCCACACCCTCAGTATACTTCTATAAGCATTCATTCAAAATTCAACAATATGTGGTAAACTGCATCACCTAGGATTAAATGTCAATGCAAGTAACAAAGGCCCACAGTCGTAGTGGCTTACATAAGATGTTTATTTCTCACTCCAGGAAAAATCCATAGGTGGGCTGTCAAGCACTCTCTGGTGGCCGTGAGCTGGGAAGTCCTTAGGGACCAAGCCTTCTTCTAGCTTTTCCCTCTCCTGTCTGTTCTCAGAGTCCAGGATGGCAGTGAGAGCTTCACCCGCATGTCTCTGCATTTCAGGCAGAAGGATGAAGGAAGGGATGAAAGAGGAAAGGGGTACAGAAGGTTCTAGAAACTGCCTGCCACACTTTGACTTACATCCCTTTGGCCAGAGCATGCTGCCCGTGGTCACAAAAGATGCTAAGGAGTGTGGACATTGTTCTCTGTGGCTCATGCCCAGCTTAACTTTAGGGATTATGTTGCAGTGAGAGAAGGGGAGGGTGGGTCTTGGTGAACAATTCGCAGCTTCTTTTACATTTTGCTTCATGCTGGATGCATAAACAGGCAGCTCTCCTCTCCTCTGAGGAGCAAACTTTCTCCCTGAGGTGCTTATTTTGGCAGGTTGGTCAGACAGGTACCCCCACTTGACTGCTCAACTATGAAATTGCAATTCTAGAGGAAAGAACCGGTCTAAATTCAGCACCGTGGACCAGTCTGTCAGCATCTCCTTTTTATTCTGGGAGAATTTACCGCATCTCTAATACACGTCACCTGAGCAGCAGTGGTTGACCTCTTCACAGCCTATGTCTGTAACCCGGGCCCAGGTCCCTTGACAGGAAAATTATAAAGGGTCCATTGTCAGGGAGAGGCTGGTCTTGCTCAGACCTTGTTCAGAAATGTACTTAGGGTCCCCAGGATTTTGTGAAAATGTTTCTTTTTATATGTCTTTTTAATTGTTTATTTATCTGCCTGCCCTGGGTTTTAGTTGTGGCACGCGAACTCTAAATTCTGGCATGTGGGATCTAGCCCCCTGACCGGGGATTGAACCTGGGCTCCCTGCATCGGGAGAGTGGAATCTTAGCCACTGGACCACCGGGGAAGTCCCTGAAACATTTGTTTGCTGCTCCTCTCACTTCAGCTTTTAGCTGCTGCTGAGTTGGTTCTATGAGCAACCCCAGAAGTCCTCCTTCCTCTTGGTCACTCCACCCTTTCCCCTTCTGCTCTTTCCACCACCCCCCACCCCGCTAAAAAGTGAAACTGTTGGTTGCTCAGTCGTGTCGGACTCTTTGCAACCCCATGGACTGTAGCCCACCAGGCTCCTTTGACCCTGGAATTCTTCAGGCAAGAACACTGGAGTGGGTTGCCATTCTCTTCTCCATGGGATCTTCCCAACTCAGGGATTGAACCCAGGTCTCCTGCACTGCAGGCAGATTCTTTACCAGCTGAGTCACCCAGGAGGCTGGGCCCCAATTCATATCATCCATGCTCCCCACTGAATAGGAAGTTCCATTTGCCTTTGCTTTTCCCATTTCCCAAGTGGAGCCCCTACAAGTCATGGTGTTTGCTAAACTTGACCTCTGCACTTCCAAGGGTTGGAACTCAGACCATGAGTGGAAGCTGGTCAACTTTCACTGACCACTGCTGATGGTCAGCACTGTCCAAAGAGGGAAGGGCTGCCTTGAGAGGTGGTGAGTTCTTTTTGTGCAGAGGATTTCAAGCAGAAATCCTGGGTGGAGAACAATTTAGGAGGTTTGTGTTTCTGGAAATCAATTAGGTTAAATGGCTTCTACCTCCAGCGTGATCTTCTGTGGTTCTATGAGCATGAAAAATCCATTGTGTTGCACTGTGAGTTCTTGAGGAAGTGAGGAAAAAGAAGAAAGTGATCCTAGAGAGGTAGCCGAAAGCAATGGCAAAGAGTCCTGATTCTCTAGGACTAGTTCTCCAGTACCAGGGTCCAAATCCTGGCCTCATTATGATTGTGACCCTGAACCAGTCGGTAGTATTCTGTATCTCAGTCCTTCATCTGCGTAAAGAAAGAGAAAGAATTCTTGTTTGATGGGATATGAAGATTAAGTATCATAATGCATCTGAAACAGGTAGAACAGTGCTTAGCACATAGTAAGCACTTGACAGTGCTCCTCATTATTATTGTTGTTACATACAAATAATATATACATAACAAAAGCAGTGTTAGAATTCTTAGTTTTGTAACAATTATTCTCACCATCTGGAGAAGGCAATGGCACCCCACTCCAGTACTCTTGCCTGGAAAATCCCATGGGCGGAGGAGCCTGGTGGGCTGCAGTTCATGGGGTCGCTAAGAGTCGGACATGACTGAGAGACTTCACTTTCACTTTTCACTTTCATGCATTGGAGAAGGAAATGACAACCCACTCCAGTGTTCTTGCCTGGAGAGTCCCAGGGACAGAGGAGCCTGGTGGGCTGCCGTCTATGGGCTTGCACAGAGTCGGACACGACTGAAGCGACTTAGCAGCAGAAAGAAAAGATGGAATACACCTGAGTTTATTGGCAAAGCCTTCCCCAAACGGTTAGACTGTTGGAAACCCAGTCTGTATTAGTTTGCACCTTTTGCATTCAACTGAGAGATGCCCATGCAAAGGAAACACTGATTGGCTCCTGTGAGTTAAACAGGCAGAGATACTGCAGAGAATCGTGGCAAGCAGGAGCTAGAGAATCAGTGGCCCAGGCCCCCTCTTTTGTTCTCATCTCTCTTTGAGCCTCATTTTCTCCCACTGAAGATGAAGGAAGGAAGGAGGGAAGGGTCCCCACAGGGCCTGGAAGGCCAAGTATTTCTGGGCCATCCAAGGCCCAGCAGAATGAGAGCACAAAGTGAGCAGTGGGGGTGAGGGACCTGGATGCTGAGAACCTCTGAGGCATCTTGGTGAACCATGTCCTCTGGAGGATAGAGTGTGCAGTCCCTGAAAAGGCCATGCAAGGCCACATGCTCCTGGGTGAGGGAGGGACATATGATATTCTGGGCCTCAGCCTGTGTTATCGCCTCTGCCTGGCCTGTTTTCTTCTCTTTTCCACCTGATGAAGGCATCCTTCAAGGCCCAGCTAACATAATACTTACTCAGTCAAGTTTTCCTCACCACTTTGTATCTGTAGGAAATTACATTTAGCTGTGATCACAACAGTGGCTTAAACTCATAGCAGAAAATCTGGAGTGAACTGTCCAGAGCTGGTGTAGTCACTCCAGGATGCTAACTAGCACCCAGGCAATTTCTCTCTTTCTGTACACTCAGGCACCCTTAGCAGACTCTTGTTCCTATGGACACAAGGTGACAACTCCACCTGTAGCATCATATTCCTTATGGTAGGCAGAGTAATGGACCCCCAAAGATATCTACATCCTAACCCCTAGAACCTGTAATTATGTTAGATTACATGGCAAAGGGGAGTTAAGGTTACAGATGAAATTAAGGTCTCCAAACATCTGACTTTAACATAGAGAGATTCCCCTGGATTATCTGAGTTGGCCCAATCTAACCATAAGGATTCTGAAAGTGGAAGAGGAGGCAGAAGAGAGTCAGAGGGAGATGTGACTGGGGAAGAATAGTCAGAGCTACAGCATTGCCTAGGGCTTCCCTGGTGGCTCAGAGGTAAAGAATCCGCCTGCCAATGCAGGAGCTGTGGGTTCCATCCCTGGGTCAGGGAGATTCCCTGGAGAAGGAAATGGAAACTGATCCAGTATTCTTGCCTGGAGAATCTCATGGACAGAGGAGCCTGGAGGGCTACAGTCCATAGGGTCACAAAAGAGTTAGACAGGACTTGATGACTGAACAACAGCCTTGTTGACTTTGACAGTGGAGGAAGGGGCCATGCGGTAAGGACTGTGGGTGGCCTCAGGAAGCTGGCAAAAGCAAGGAAGCACCTCTTCCCCAAAGCATCCAGAAAGGAGCATAACTCTGCCACCCCGTGACTGTAGCCTGGTGACATCCTTGTCAAACTTCCGACCTGCAAAAATGTAATATAGTAAGTTGATATTTTGTAAGCTACTAAGTCTGTGTCATTTGTTACAGCAGCAACTGGAAGCTAGTACATCCCTCTAGCACCAGGTCCCTCTACTAGGCAGAAAGAAGGGAAAGGCCAAGTGCCACTTAAATCAACTCTCCCCCTTTTAAGGAGCTTTCCCAGAAGTCTTGCCCAGAATGTCTACATACAGCTCACTGGCCAAAACTGTCCTATGGCCACCTTTCTATGCAAAGAAAGCTGGGATGTGTAAATTTTAGTGCACAGCTGCAGTGTATCACCAGTCTTTACTGTCTATTACAGTCTGCTTCTTCCTCCAGAGAAACTAAGCAAGCTGGTCAAAGGCTGTTAAGTACACCTGTCTCAGCCTAAAGAGCCTCAGTTAGCCTTGAGTGTAAATTACACTTCCTGCCTGTTCTTTATTTTTAGCTGGGCAGTATCTCCTTGGTTCCTCCTGGGAAGTCTGCATTAGATTTCGGTCAACGAAGCTGGAAAACAGTGGCATTTCTAAGCCAAATGGGATGACTTTTATTAACCCCACGAATCTTGGTTTCTTGGGAAGCTCCTCAGGCTTGTGACTCAGGCTTTCCTTGGAAAGATGGCAGTCTGGGCTTTCCAGTGCCCGCACGTGCATTTGTGGAGAAATCTGCTATTTGGATCTGACTCATTTAGACATATACAAACTGTAGATTTCTTGAGTTCATTCCCTTTGGATTAAACTCAATTGTCCTTATCTTGAAAGCCTAGTTTTGTTACTTTTTTCCATCCCCCCTCCTCCCGCCCCATGTTCCTTCTCAGTTACGCAGTATCACGACCCAAATCTTTAGCACTTGAGCTGTACAGCCAAGAGCCTTGAAACCAATAGGGCCTGGGCAGTGGAGATGATCAGGCCAGCCATTGGGCATCACATCACAGAGAATTCTAAATCACCTGAGGCTGCTTCATTGGGAGTAGTGAGTTGCTTAGAGTCAACCTTTTTGTTTTAAGTCAGAAATTTTTAACCTAATTTTATGACAGAATCCCTTGTAGTACCTGACTCTGAGTCCAGCCAGATAAGCTCCATCAGTGTTGGTAGAACTGAGTGTCAGTTGATGTTGTATTCATTTTAACACCCCACTGGACCTCAGCTCCTTTTTGGTGCCACAGCCCATGAAGGGCAGCCTTCTCAGTGCTAGGCCAGGGGTGGCATTTTTAAAATGTGATTTATTGTTTTTATTTTGCCTAGATACATAATATCTGGTTTTTAAATTATATTAAAAATATTGAAAATTAAAAAGAAGAAAATTAAAAACACTCAGTATCTCATTACCCAAAGATAACCACCACTGATATTTTCCTATTTTGTCAAAGTTAAAATTTGTATAGGGGTGCCCTGTACTCTTCTTGATTTCTCTGAGGCTTGGGGAAATGGGGAGAGGGTAGTTTATAGTTCTTCTAATCTCTTAGCTTCAGGTATTATTAGGATATATGCACACACACACACACACACACATATATTTGCGTGCATGTGTGCATGCTATGTCACTTCAGTTGTGTCTGACTTTCTGTGACGCTATGGACTGTAGCCCACCAGACTCCTCTGTCAATGGGATTCTTCAGGCAAAAATACTGGAGTGGGTTTGCCATGCCCTTCTCCAGGGGATCTTCCCCATCCAGGGATTGAACCCTTATCTCTTACATCTACCTGCATTGGCAAGCAGGTTCTTTACCACTAGTGCCACCTGGGAAGCCCACAAGTATTTATATGTGGATGGAATACATACTCTTGGAATATATATCATTAGGAGGTGTAATAATATTTATAATATGTATATATAAAACATATACATATTTGAGCTGTGTCAGTTAGCTATTGGCCAAAATAGTGCTCTGTGACAAACTACTCTCAAACTCAGTGCTTCAAAACAAAAATCGTACGCTCCTGCTCACTCTCCTGTGAGGAGGAGACTGGGTGTTTGCTGATCTGGGCTGGGCTTAGCTGAGTGGCTCTAATTGAAGGTGCAGGTATGACTGGCCATGGCTTCTGACTCTGGGTTGAGCTCCTGTCTACTCCCCACCTGTTCCTCCCGGGGCTCAGGCTGAAGGAACAGCAGCTGCCCAGAGAAACTGTTCTTTTGGTGCCAGAAGAGACTCAAGAGGACGAGCCCAGTTGGGTGGATATGTTCCAAGCCTCTGCTTGTATCATGTCTGCTAACATCCCATGGGCTGATGCAGGTCACATGGCTGCACCCAAAATCAAGAGCAGGGAAGCATATCCCACCTCCCGTGAGGACAAAGCAAATCATTTGGCCAAGACCAATATCAGTGGTTGAGGACATATATGTTTTTCCCATGAAGGTGCAGGGGGAAGGGAGGGAATTTGAGAATAATGGAGTCAACCCACATTCTAGACATCTGCTGAGGTATTCAGTTTTTTTGAGATTCAAATGAAATCTGCTAAAAACTCACCTGGCCAATCTCTAGGAAACCTCTAGCCTGGAGCCCCCCTACCCATTGAACTGGTTCCATTTTAGGTCACTTGAGTTGTCCCTATTCCATGCTCCTGTTCCTTTTCTTGATTCCTCCCAAAGTAATTGACACAGATGTATATATCAATAAAAGATGTAATAAACATTTGGAACAGCAAAGCTTTATATCTATGTTTATCTAGCGATGCTGCTTGGCCCTCTCCTCTAGGTTGTTTGCGTCTCAGCCCACACACAGCCTCTCAAGTCAAAGCTTGCTGAAGAATTCACCCTGTTCTCAGAAATCTGAAGATCTCCTCTTGGCTGAGCTATATGACTTTTTGCAACTTGATTCATCTTTTATCATTCATTCAACATACTTGTATTGACTGTTTGTGCCTTTCCCATGGTGAATTTATACTCTATTAATGGAAATTAATAATTTATGTATACTCTGATGCAGGGTTTAGAGTTACTAAACCTTGGCCCTGTTGGTTTTAGGGGGGCAAGTCATTCTTTATTGTGGGGGGTGTTCTGTACTTGGTAGTGTGTTTATAAACTGCTACCCCCTAAATGCCAGTAGGACCAACTCCTCTCTGCTTGAGTAATGGACAACCATACTATCTCCAGACATCTCCAACTATGCCCTAAGGGACAGAAGCACCTTGGTTGAAAACCAATGCTCTAACATATAGTGGACTTGATAAGACCACTGATATTGTTATTTTCTGATGGTGAATGTATGAAAGCCTCATGAGGTGGGTGGTATCTGAGCTAAGATTTCAGTAGTGGCTAGGGTTTGGAGATGGATTTTCTGGAGAAGGGCAAATCAGTGGTCACAGATGGGCACATAAGGAGTAGCTCTGTTTAACCAAAGCATAAAGTGAAATGAGCACGTTGTTAAGAGCAGAGGCTCTTATAGGCACTAGGAGGCTAGATACTGTAGGGCCGTCTTAGTCATGAAAAGAACTGCCACTTGTATGTGAGGGAAGCAGTCAGTATATCTGAAGCTCTGTTCATCTGGAGGGAGTACAGTTATAGCATTTGTCTTCATGTTCAGTCACTCAGTCGTGTCTGACTCTTTGCCACCCCGTGGACTGTAGCCCACCAGGCTCCTCCGTCCATGGGATTTCCCAGCAAGAGTACTGGAATGGGTTGCCATTTCCTTCTCCAGGGGATCTTCCCAACCCAGGGATCGAACCGTGTCTCCTGCATTGCAGGCAGATTCTTTCCCTTACTCTTCAGAAGATCTCACTCTGAACGCTTTAGGTTAGGTCTCAGTTTAACAGACCTGGTTAGCCGGTTCCCCGCAGCAGATTAGAAGATAGAAGAGGAAAGGGAGAGGAAAAGGACAAACAGGCAGGCACGTTCTGCAGCAAAGCTTCCAACATGACAGAGGACGAAGAGAGCAAAAGCAGAGTTGAGTGAATGAATGAATAAATTCAGACTAAATGATTTGGAAGCATCATAGTATGGAGTCCTGTAGGTAGGGGAACGCCCATCCCTTCATAACCCCAAAACACTGGTACATTACAGTACCTCCCTATTTAAGTCAACATACGCAGTGTGTTTAAAGGCAGGGCATGTGTGAAGTACTCTAGTGACGTACCGTGTGACCAGAGTTTGGCACAACGGTGAGGAGCAGGGTCTCGAGTTATACTTCTGGCTTAAACCCTAGCTTCAACACTCTGTACCAGTAAACTAGTTCCCTAGCCCTGCCTTGCCTTAATGAGTTCGTCTGTAAAATGGGAATTCCCTGCTCATAGGGTCATAAGGAAGCTTAACCACAACAATCCACGTGAATTCTTAGCTTAGCTCTTGGCACAGATTGTGCTCAAGAAAAGTTAAATGGTTATTACAATCATTTCATTGAAAGCATAGAGCTGACAAGGCCTCCCTCACAACTTCAGTGTAGCTGCCCTTCTGGAATATTCCCGGAGTCTCCAGGCTGTGCTGAAGTCTCCTTTTCAGAAAATATAGAGGCTTTGTAAAAACTGAGGAAATTTCCAGAAGAGCAGGGGCAGTTGTATCAGTCCCTTCCATCTCCTCTCTCCTTGGCAGGAGAAGTCAGGCCACCGAGGAAGGTGACAGCAGGTTCACTAGCCACCAGCCATGTCGTGGCAACATATTTCCTTTGAGCGAGACCAGCTCTTCACCCTTTGGCCTACCTGACAGAACAGTTAGTACGAGATGGCAGAACATGAAGCTATTTTCCTTCAGATAGTATGTCTTAACCTATGAAAAATGGTGGCTGTTGTTTAGTCGCTGAGTCATGTCCAACTCTTTTGCAACCCCATGGACTGTAGCCCACCAGGCTCCTCTGTCCATGTGATTTTCCAGTCAAGCATACTGGAGTGGGTTGCGGTTTCCTTCTCCAGGGAATCTTCCCCAACCAGGGAATGGATCCAGGTCTCCTGCATTGGCAGGCAGATGCTTTACCACTGAGCCACCTGGGAAGCCATGCTATGAAAAATATCTACCTCCAAATTAAGAATGCAGAGGAGAAGAGGGTTGAAAGGAAGGCACCGAAGTGTACTGGAAAGTGGTGGCAGTGACTGGGTGGCCCCAATCTGCGTGGTTTCCCTTTGACCAGTGTCTGCTCAGGCAAAGGCGGCAACATGGGCTGCTCTGTAAGGCAAAGCCTGGCTGGGTACCACGCCGTCATGTCAAACGGAGACCACCAGGGAGGCACCCGACAGGAAGAAGCTGCTCTCTGGCCAGAAGATAAAGTAACCTGTCTTCCGTTTGTGTGTTTTCCAGGCTGGAGCAGGAAATACAAGCCCTGGAAAGTGAAGAGTCCCAAATATCTGCCAAAGAGCAAATCATCCTAGAGAAGCTAAAGGAGACAGAAAAATCCTTCAAGGACTTTCAGAAGGTGAAGGAAACTAACGTCATTTCTCTCAGTTATACCCCTGGGGAAGCGGGCACACCATGACAGTGCCAATTGGAGAAAAGGCCAGTTGGTGTGGATGAGAAGCCCGGACCACACACCCTGCAGTGAGGGCTAGATGCATGAGAACCAGAGCCGTCTCTGAAGCTGCGAGTGGCAGATTGGTCTAAAAACCAATTCTTATGAAGCAGATTAAACAGACTCCCCGTGGCTTTAAGTCTTTCTTTTATAAAAAGGCCAGGAGCAAAACCGTATCAAATGGGCATGAATCCCAAAAAAGAAAGTGTCAGTGAAACATGAAATTTTACCGCACAGGCATGCCTCAGAGATATGGCGAGTTTGGTTCCAAACCGCTGAGATTAAGTGAATATTGCAATGGAGTGAGTCACATGAATTTTTTGGTTTCTCACTGCATATAAAAGTTATGTTTATACTATATTGTTAGTCCATTTAGTATGCAATAGCCTTATGTCTAAAAAACAATGTACATATCTTAATTAAAAATAATACTGTTGGAACAATGGTGCTGACAGATTGGCCTAACTAGGGGTTGTCAGACACCTTCCATTTGTTTAAAAAAAAAAAAAAAAAAGCAATATTGAGGCACAATGAAATGAGGTATGCCTGTCTATGAAAACACATGGTTCTGTGTAGCAAAGAGAGAATCCATAGTGCCAGCAGGTTCTGAATAACTCAGGACCACCCTCCCCTCTGTTTTACAACTCCTGTTTCCTCAGGTACCCAGCAATGATAGGAAAGCAATCTAAACACATTCATTACAGGAAGGGATTTTCTGTTATCGCTTCTCCAGCACAACCAAGAGTATTTGCTGGATAACTGAAATAAATGTCTACTGGGAGAAATTTGGGGTAAATAAAGTGCAAAGGGTAAACCTTTCCCTTAAATTTCGGGATCCCAAACAAATTTCCCAGAAGGAAAGAGAGCATGGGGTTTGCCCACCACGGTCAAGTTCTGCGGGAGAAAGACAGGCTGAATGAGGGAAGGGTCATCTCCCCACGTGTATAGTGACTCCCTGCCCTGCTTTTGTCTCCACAGAGCTTCTCCGGCGCGGATGGAGGTAAGTGTGAGCGCTCTCTCCCTATCTGTACCTGAATGTTCTCATCTGTCAGCTTAGTGGGTCTCATTAACACAGGCTCCCTGGGAGATATGCTGCTTTGGTCTGGAGGGGCATCAGAAAGAAGGGGAGCGCTGTTTGCGAATGCTCAGGAGGGCCATGCCCCCATCTCCCCATGCTCCCCTCTTCAAGGACTACTTCTTGATCAACTCTTCCTAGTTTTAGACTGCTGGCCCAGCTCCTCTTCTTCCCGTTTGGTCTCCAAGGTTCACTGCTTGGATCTCTCTTGAAATACACTCAGCCCAGAGCACCAGCCTCAGGACCAGTTCCCTGGCAGGGTTGAGCCCACTGGAACTGGTGGTTAGGTCTCCAGGTAACAGTACACATCAGGAGCCCATCATCTGATGTTTAAGAAACCTTCCTAAGGCCTCTGGTTTTACTTTGAATCAGAAAACCGCAGTTTCTCCAGCCTCCCTGGGAACCAGGGCTTCACAGAACTTCTCTCCCTGTGGGGCATGGTTGACTGGGGGCACAAGAAGGTTAGGAGCAGGTTCCTGGCTTCCTGACCCCATCCCGGCAAGATGGGCCTTCCTCTGCTCTCTCTCCCCTTCTCTGCCCCCTGCTTCCCTGCTGTCCTTCACTGGGGCCTTGGGATGAATTTGAGGTTGTGTGCCTCTCAGCTTTCACCTTGCTCCTCTAACTTTAGCTGCAAACTCATGAAAACCACTTGATTTCCACTTTTCACTCTGACCCTTAGCTCAACCTGTCCTAAAATGCCAGATCTTGTCAGAAGGAACAGATATTTCTGCTCTCTTACAGCCTCTAAACCAGGAAGATGATGCGGGAGGTAGAATAAGCATGGCATCAGTGTTTTCCCAATGTCTTTTGGAAATGTATGGTTAACAATTTAAAATGCAGAGATGGATAAGGCATTTTTCTTATAATGTCTAGCAAAGATCCTTGCAGTAAGGATAATTCTAACTTCAGAAAACAAACAAACAAAAACTGGTGGTTTGTTCAGGTTCCCACTACCCAACAAATGAAAGGCAGGGGATCTGAATTTTGGCCCCTTGGGTGATCTTTGGGAAGGTATCAAATTCATGATCCCAGTGCATATGCTCGGAGACAAGTCCAGGTCGAGCCCACAGCAACTCCAGGAAGAGGACCTATGATAGTTCTACAACTTTCTCTAGGGAATAGCCAAGTCAGGACACTTGTTCTGTGTTTTGGGGGTGGAGTATAGGCTGAGGAGGTGGCCTTGACTGTTTTTGGGAGTTGGGGGTGGCAGCATGGGAAAGATAGTGGAGTTCCCTCATGCTGGGGCTCCCCTGAGGTCATGCATGTGATTAGCAGTAACACAGTAAGCATCAGACATGGACCCACAGACACCCACATACCGGAGGCATGCTCATCAACCTCTTATTCTTTCACTTCTTTTTTTCTCTTCCCTTCTCAAACCAGGACCTTTCTTAGGCTTCTTTCTCTAATTAGGGAAGGGATGGAACCTGCATACTGTGTCCCAGGCAAGGCTGTGTGGGCCGGGGAGACCCATGTAGTATGTGACTTGTTAACAAGCATCCACAAAGCCATGTCATAAACTCTCAGCACTCTCTCTTTATTGTTTTCACCCTGAACTTCTCTCATTTCCTCCTGCTCCATGTACTTCCCACTGTTTTCATCTCTTCACCTAAGTTGTTCATAGAGGTGGTAAGAAATCCAATCATGACTTAGAAAGGAGCCTGCAGAGAAAAACAGCCCTTGTGATTTTATCCTCCATTGCTTTTTACAGGATGAGTGAAACTCAGGCTTAAGAGGATGCAAAAGTCTCGGGGGTCCCAGGAAATGGCCAGGGAAAAGTTTCCATGATCTTCCTTATTGCCCTGGATGGCGATACTTCCATGTCTGATTATAACTAAGCCTGGGAAGACCTTTCCATTACACCACATCTGTTAGCAAAGAGAGCAGTTTGAAGGAGGGAACACATCCTACCAAGAATGTGGTCAGTGTTTATAGGTCACTCTGTGGGTAAAAACCCATCATGAAGCACATCCAGTTTAGGAACTTTGAGCTGTCTGATTGTTTTCTCTTCCTTTGATTTCAAAGTTACCAAGACCCTCTTAGACTCAACCAATTGGTACTAAGACCTAACAAAAAATGACGGTAGAATAATAATGCCTTAGGACAGATACCCAACTTTTGAAACACGATGATTATAGAATCCAGGTCCAGCTGAAATTATAAAACTGTACAAGACCCTGCAGGGGTCAGCAAAAGCATCGCCAGAGTGATGAGTTGCCACAGAGTTGGCTGCTAGTGTGTGCTTGTATGATGACCCCTCTTCAGGTATCCTGTGTGTGTCCCCCTGTGCTTTTCAGAGGAAATAAAGATATTAGACTGCTGGATCACCAATGGTTTTTGATTACATGGTGGCCTTGGCAATCAAGAGCAATGTGTTTTAATCCTGAGTAGAATTTCTTGGCCACGGACTTCATGATCCCCCCCTGCCCTCACTTCCTCCCTATCCCACATACATCCTTGTTATATGGTGGAGTCAAAATTGATTGGGTGGGTTGTTTTTACTGCCCTAAATAGGCACAGTGTTTTTGCGTAAGTATATATTTCACATAGTATATACCTAGAACTACCTCTGTTCTTTACCTGTTGGGGAGCTGGTGTGAAACCCTTGGCCAGAACTGGCAAATGAAAACATCTGTCCTGGGCCTGTCTCGTCCTTGCTGTTTGAGACTTTGTAGATTTCCGCCCCATCCCAGCCTGGGGCAGCCTGGAACCTTTCCCGCATCAAAACCCTCATACCAGTTGTTGGGACATAGTGTGTCTTCACTTGCCCAGAAGTCATGATTTTAGGAGAGTTTTCATCAGTTTTGTTTCTTTCTAACTTTGGCTATTTATGTTCTTCATATGGTGATGATTTTAGCAGTGCTGGGTAAGGGGAAGGGCTCACCTTTCTCCTCTGTTCTGTAGCTGACTGTTGGAGGAAGAAGCACAATAGACCACCCAGACTTGGTCAGGAAGAGGGCAGTGTACTGACTGAGGCCATGTGAAGGAATTCTCCCCCAGGAAGCTTTGGGCGCCCTGTTTCTTATTCCTTGTGTTGGTCTGTCAGACCCCTCGGGGCTGGCAGAGCCTCAGGAATTACTACTTAATGATATATTGAGGAGCTGCCCTGTCCTCTTCCTTGGGCCCCATGCCCTGCCACCTCGTATCAGGCACAGAAACCATGGAGCCCCAGCCCCATAAGAGCTGTAGCCCATGCGCCTGTAGCCAGCGACCGCTGGGCAAAGGTACCTCCATCACCTGCTCCCTTCCGTCGGAGAGCTGCCTCCTGGGGGAGGCTGAAATGTAAGCAGTAGGAGTCATGTGCAGAATCCCCTGCCTGCAGGTGGCTTCTACTTCTTGCTGCTAAAACTTTCAGTATGCAGAAGTGTCCTAGAAATTCTATGTGTAGCATAGAAGGCACCAGACATGTGTGACCAGTCTGCAAAGTCTTACCTCGTCTTAATGGCTTGAGAGATTCAGATGCATCTCATTTGAACGCAGGCAGTCAGACTTACAGAGATTGCCCTTCCACAGATTTCCGGAAATCCTCAGGGAAACTCAGAAGTTGTGCACATCTGCTCTGGTCTTCTCTTATCTCCTAAACGGTGCTGCTCTTCCTTCCCCTGGACCACTGTCTCCTGCTCAGGCCCTGCTTTACCCCAGCTGTTGCTCTCTTTGGTCCTGCCTTCTGTGGCTTTGGGTCCTGACCCTTCCCACACCTCTCCAGAGTGACAGAGTCTGCAAGCTAACTTAAGGATCACTGGCAGAGCAGTTCAACGTGGAGAATAAAGGGCAACTTCAGACATGTGGCCATACTCTGAGGCCCTGGCTCCAATTCAGGCCATTTCAGAGGGTCTCTATAGGCTGCTTCCTGGCTATCTTCCAACCCAGCATCATCTCAAAGGCCCACCTTCCTCCCCTGCAGTGAAGGGCCTTCAGCTATGTCTGCCTGACCCAGTGCCCAACCCCAGCACACATGAGGCCCCTGGGAGGAACAGTAACCTGAGCTTCGCTGCAACCCAGGGCCTGCCTGCCAACTCCTGACTTCCGGTTCTGTCTCCCCAAAGAGTTGATACAGACAAAACCATTCTCTTAGAGAAGCTCCACCCCATCCATTCCTTTTGCCCTGAGAACATGGTGGTCCAGTGTCACTACATCCTTGGTGATTCGCCTGCATGTGAGTCTGCAGTGGCCTCGTCGGTACAGAACTCAACTCATCCTAATTTGGTGTCTGTTCACAGCCCTTTCCTACATGAAATTTAAAAAAAAAAAACAAAACCAGAAACCTGCTGGAATTAAGTCAGCATCAGTGGGGATACAGAGGACGGGATGGATGTGGGAAAGCTGGGTGACTGACTGGGTACCAGGAGAAGGAGGTAGGGGCACCACCCAGGATCCTGGGCGAACTGTGGTGCCAGTGAGCTCAGATACGCTGTAGGGAGAAGCAGCAGATGAGTGGAGATGAGAGTTCCGTTTTGGACATGTTGAGCTTGAGATGATTTGAGGGCTATTGAATGGAATATGCAGTAAGCAGTTAGACGTGATCATTGACCAGTGATCGACATTCCAGGTTTTGGGGTGTGTCCGTGGCACATGGAAGGAATCACATCACCTAGAGCCCAGCTTTCTAGAATGTTCCTTCATTTTCCCCCTGCTCTCTGGGGCATTCATAGATTCTTCCCTTGTTTCACCCCAGTGGTTTCCCCCTCTCCTCTAATACTTCGGCACACCTATTGACTTCCATGGCCTCCATCTCCCCAAATGAACTTTCAAGATATTTTCCCAAGCAGAGCCAGTCTCTCTTTTCCGCACGGCCACATTTCTTGCACTGAGCTCATGGTGTTTCACTGGTGCTATTATTTGGAATCTCAGGATTTTCTAGCTGAAACACCAGACAGAAGGACTAAAATTATGGGATAAATTCTGAAATTTTTTTTAATGCCTGTTAATCTTTGGAATGAATCAGACACATAAAGTGATATTTCCAGTTTAAGGAAAGACTCCCAAATCTGTTTTCCAATTCTGTTTAAGACATGTCTTCCATGTTTCTAGTTTGAATTCCCATACTTGGCCCAATCCCATTCTTTGGTGGCTCAGACCAGTGTGAGAGTCCTGGGTTTGATCCCTGGGTCGGGTAGATCCCGTGGGGAGGGAAATGGCAACCCACTCCAGTATTCTTTCCTGGGAGATCCCATGGACAGAGGAGCCTGGCAGGCTGCAGTCCATGAGACTGCAAAGAGTTGTACACAGCAGAGCGACTGAGAACGCACCCACGTCAAGTTGATAATGGCTCTCACTAGTCCATCTCGCTCCCTCTTTTTTTTTGTCCCCTGGACACATTGTGCTCTTAGAATCTAGAGCTTTCTGCTGAATCTTTTCATACATAGAGCTGTTCTGGGGCTTGAGCTCTCTGGCAGAGATCTCTCCTGCCTCAGCTACTCTACTGAACACCAGTCACCGGGCAAATGCTGGGCTTTGTTCGCCCTGATCCCCTCTCGCAGTGGCCACCTCTGTGCTCCATTATGTAGGGCAGACAAGCTGCTGTCTCGGCAATGAATCCATTGGGCCTCTCAACACTGTGCCTAATTGTATTCCCTGTTCTCTGCTACCAGATGCAGTAAATCACATTTCCTCCCAGCTCCCCGACCTGCCAATCGTCTGTTCACGAACAGCAGAACCATCACCTGAGCAGGACAGAACCAGCAGAACAGCTGGTAAGTCCTGGGGAACTGTTTGCTTTTGATGCCAGGACTGACCGTGGGGCTTGCATTCCTCTGAGCTCTATTAACGAGGGGTGTCCAGATATTCTTACATGGAGGGGGGACCCCCTCCTCAGCGCAGCTTCAGATGTAGAATTTACAGTGGCCACGCAGGGCGGGCACTGGTCGCTGAGGGGTCTCTGAGGGCCAAGGGGAAGGAGTATTGAGAAAATCATAGAGCGCTTTTCCTCCTGCTTCGGAGGAGTCTGTCTTGTGTTGTGGTCTTTATATCAGTCCTCATTCTACAAGATCAAATGAGCTCTGCCGGGAAGCTGGGGGGAAACTATTTTCAAAGTGTGTGAGAATGTTGCTGTAATGCTTTGGGAACTGAGCTGTTTGTACACTGTGAACATATAGATTCTCAAGTCTCCTCATTTCTGGAGTTATTTCTTACTTACCGTGGCATACTTGGAAAATAAAAGGAGCAATTTAATGAACGTATGCTTCTTGCTAATACTCCTCACACTTGTGGATTGTAGCAAGTAATACATTTGTGAGTGTAAAGCATATGGAGAGCTCTGCTTTGCTCTGTTCAATGTGAATGTGTCCCAGAAATCAGAACTGGACGCCGTGCTTAATAAATCACTATACCAATCCTTTCTGCTCTGTGCACAGTTGCATGAGGGCAGGGGTTGGATGGGAAAATGAGCCGCCAATGCTGTAGAGTTTGTGAAAATGTAGGTGAACTGGAATTTGAGCATCAGATTTACGCTTTATGTAATCCAGGTAAATTTATGTTTAAAAGAAGTCATGGAAGGATACCTTTATAAGACAATCATGAACTGATAAGTCAGAGGAAATTCTTTATACAGTATTTTATGAAGCAAAGAAGCCTTCCTTTTAACATAAAAGTAAAATAATTCCTCAAGTATTCACATAATTGTCATGCACATTGGCAAAATATAAGTATCTCCTGGGGACTCTATAAATATCTTAGTATATTATTTTACAAACAGATTCACAGGGTTCTAGAGTTGGGGGGGGTACTGTAAATGGTATCTGGTCAAACTCAAGCTAGGCTCCCAGGATAGTTAAAAAACTTGTAGCTATAGTCGTACTACGAAGGGACCATTGGCAGTGACTTAAGCTGCAGATTCTTTTAAATGCTCCAAGATGCACTTCTGAGATCAACTTGGGATAACAACTCTTCAAAAAGGCACACACCTCCCTGCTTGTTATTAGAGTGTTGGTAATTCCCAGTAGTGGTGGGTAAACAGCTTTCTAGCTCCTCTCCACATTTCTGCGACTCACAGGACATGCATTATGACCTAACTAATAGATCAGTTCATGAAGGCGGTAGGGCCAGTGGGTGGGGACTGAGAGATATGAAAAGGATTTGAGCAGTATTGGCAGCCAAGGAATGTAAACTTCAAGAATGATATGTTACTGGGATTGCCGTTCTGTGTGCATAGGAATACACATACTATCACAAGCTATCATCCTTCCTCTTGGAAGACACTGTGAAAACATAATGAATCCAATAGCAAATGCCTTTTTGAAAAAGTATTATGTGCTCAGTCTTCTAAAAAATAAGTTTATATGTACTTTTATCAGTTAAGAACCAATATGCATAAATGTATCTACTGTGGAAATATACAGATGCAGAGGCTTGAAAGGAATTGCATTTGATGTGGTTAACTGCTTTTTCCAGGCTGTTTTTGAAATAGAGCATCCAGATTAATGATCAGTTATGGCTAACAGTGACTACACAGAGCATGGATAGCATACAAATGAATGGCAGTCGCCCCTGGAATTCTTTCTCTTAGATATCATCCATCTTGCTTTAGGAGCGTCCTTTTGAAAATTTGCACAATCTTAGGGCCATTTTAATAAATGTCTCTGGTCGTTACTCAGTATTATGACAAATATTCTGGTTGTCTGGAGTTTGGGAGGTTTGGGGTTCTGTTTAAATGGGAATTTATTTAGAACCTTTGCTTTGCAGAATCAGGAGGCTTCTGTTCCAATTCCTTATTCAAACATGGAAGCCTGGGGACAGAGCCCTGCCAATCAGACCACAGGCACACACCATGACCTGGGTCTCCCCAGAGATGGCCATTCTGTCTGTAATTGGCTCTGACAGCTGGGAAAGTTCATCCTCAGATGGAGCTCTCATTAGTCTGCTGCTTTCATCTTTTACCTATTTTTATGTATCCTTATCCTGCTCTCTGGAGCCCTTCAGAACAAACCTAAGTTCTGATTTCCATTTAAATGTTTGAAAACGGCTGTCACATCCTGTCTTTCCCAGGCCTTCACTTTCCATCTCCTTAATGCCCACAGCCGCAGTTGGTCCATCTGGTCCTGAGACGGTAGGTTTCTTGGACCCCCTTGGCCGTGCCTGTCCCCTGGGAACACGCCCCGCTTGGTCTCTGAAGAGCAAGACTCGGGGCTGCCCAGCGCACTCCGGGCCGCACGGTCCCCCCATTGAGGCCACGGCCATGTGACTGCCTCGGCGGCCTGCACGGCCTTTCAGCTTCAGGCTCAGGTACAGCCTCCGAAGTGAGCGATGTGCGCCGCTCCCGGGCCTCCTTCCCTCTGTCTGGTGGAGTCACTGCTCCACAGTTATTTCAGCGGCAGTGAGCAGTCTGCTCCCCACAACTGTGCACGTACTGCTTCGCCTTCTCACATGCAGAAGAACCTACAAATTCCTTTCCTTCTAATCTTAGGAGGCAAAAATAAGGATGAGCTATGCGCCTCTCGGCCCTTGGTAGATTTCACATGACTGTTAAGTTTCTTCCTGTTAAAGTGTCCCTTAGGAGTATCGGGGCCGCTGGGGTCACCAAGGAGTCTCCGGAAGGTGGCAGGGCGTTGAGGTGAGCGGACTTGGTGTTCTGTCCCGTTTCAAGCACAGCAGCTTCCCCGGCCTTGTGCTTCCATATCGTATTTCTGCATCAGGTTTCGTTTGAATAAAGGGTTTAACCATTTTGAAAGAAGAAAACTCTCTATGTTGTCAGGTTGTGGCTCTCAACACCCTCATTTTTCCTCTCGGTTTAGTATCATCTCAGATCTGAAAAGAAAACTGGCATGATTTATCATCATTTTACTGATAAAATTGTTGTACAATTTGATACAGTCAGAAGCCTACGGCTCACCGTTAGGGATCCTCTGGTCCTGGGGAATTCTCACCCGGTAACTATGGGGCATGGCCCTTCAACCAGTGACAAGTTCTGCCTGTTGTCCTAACACTCATGGCACATGTTTCTGTCTTGTCCACATAAGGACAATAGGGACTTTATGATGACCCAATATGTTTCACCTCTGTCATTTTCTGTCTAGAGACCTTGAAGGAAAAAAAATTGAGATTAAGCAGAGCCCAGCTTCTGCTCTTTCAAAATTGACTCTAGAATTTAGCCAGCCATGATGTCCAACTGTTTATATATAGTTTATGGAATTCCTTCCTTCTCAGTTTTGAAAATTAAAACTTGGTGTTTTTGCCTCCAGTGCCTTTCCTGATATGTAAAATCCTTGGGACCAATTCATTGATGTGGGAATTGGAGTGCAGGGCCCAAAGCACTGTGAGCATTTGTATCCCTGGGAGTTTTATTATCTTCCAATCTTCTCTACTCACCTGGGTTTCAGTTACCTCTTAGCAGTATTCTTTCCGACACTTCTCAAGCTGTAAAATGCCCTTCTTGACCAAAAAGACTGAAGCAAAATCAATATGAGAAATCGGCTTCGGCTTTTGCTAGATGGCATCACCAACTCGATGGACATGAGTTTGAGTAAGCTCTGGAAGTTGGTAGTGGACAGGGAAGCCTGGCGTGCTGCAGTCCATGTGGTCGCAAAGAGTTGGACACGACTGAGCAACTGAACTTTGCTGTCCTTCAACATTATACCCTTGCTTGCTTATTTTTGTTAAAACCACAGTGTCTTGGGAAAACCTTTGATTTGAAGAAATGTTTGATTACTGGGTTTTGAAGTTAGAGATTGCTCTCTGCGACAAGAGGAAGGATTCACTCCAAATGAATATCCTCATTTTCATCATTTTTGACATCACAACACTAATTTTAAATTTTCCACCTCAAGAGGAGTAAACATAAATGCATATATATAGTTTTATGTTCAAAGAGATACATGTATGTATATTCATTCAATAAGCCTAGCGTATGTATCATTTTTCTTCCACATGGTACATTGCCAGCCACTTGATGTGCATCACACAGCAAAGATCTCACTGCTGGGTGATGGTCCTGGTCTGATTGTCCATTGCCCTCCCTCCTTTTGGATTTGATACATCACTGACTCACAAGCCACATGGGCTCTTCATGGCACCTTAGAATATCAAAGCTGGATACCATATATACACACGTATATATGTATATATGTGCATTAATATTTGTATAACTGAATCACTTCTCTGTTTACCTGAAACTAACACAACATTGTAAATCAGCTATACTTTAATTAAAAAAAAAAAAAGCTACATACCCTTCAAATGTACCTATGTACAAATGGGGAAAATGAGGCCCAAAATTGAGATGTGACCTGGATAGGAATTCAGACTCACTATCTTTCTCCCTTCCCATGACACCTCCCATATGATGACTGATGACAATGGGACATGTCTTTTTATACTTTACACATGGACCCTCAACTTTATTCTTCCACCCATTGATCAGAGTGAGTCAAGGAAAGTGAGCTGGGAGCAACTTGGGTCAAGGAATTTAACAATGATCAAAAGTTCTGTCTTCATGGAGCACAGTTCTGTCTGGTGTGCTCTTGGCTGGATTCTGAAATGGAATCTCACCAGTTTGTATCACTCTCCGCTTACCTGTGCCAGGGTACTTTTCCCTGGACCCCTTAGAGCCCTTGGAGCTGCTGTGTTTACCAGGCTGAAGGTGACAGGGAACAAGAGGGTGCAAAGAGCCAGGGCAGCAGGTTTGACCTGGAATCAAGCATTCTGTTCTCTTCACACCCTCTTTCTGGGCCCTGTGGTGTCCAGGTATCTTTCCTGGAGG